CATCATCAGGAAGAATAATTACCCATAAAGGCTTGCCTTTATAAAAAAATCTTGAATCCCGAGATCTTAAATTCCTCGCAAAATAAGAGTAAAATCTCTAGTTAATATCTTATCAACTGTTCCATCCAACTTCTGAAATTTGACCAGTGATCTCACAGAAAACTCTCACAACTGTTCATTCATCTTCATGGGATGGCAAGGTGCAACCTTTTCGAGCCTACACCCTGTAAACGATCCAAACCACACTACATCTTTTCGAGTCAAAAATATTCTCAAAGCCCCACATCAATGTAAAGTTTTTTGGATTCAACCTCTTGGGGAGGCTAAGTTTAGCACAATTCTACTGCTGTAATATTTTACATAGTTGATAATAACAACAATCATGCTAGGAGATTCAAGACAGTCCTAAATTTCAAATAGGAAATAGAAAAAAAAAACAAAACCTTCTACATCATGGCATTTAGAAACGTACAAAAGAGAGGCGAACCAAGTCCTCTTACCCTTTCAGATCCACAACAAGAACATAAAAGCACTTGGCGTTAGTGCTGCTATCGCCACCAACACCACACCAATTTCCAGCGAGGCCGCCTGTCCCACCACCTGTGAAAAAAAAAAATAGAAAAGAAAAACTTGATTGCTAATGAGAAGAAAACAGTGGAGTGCAAAAATTAGATTTTTACAACGTAGCATAGATATCTATGAATGAAAATGTGGATTAAAAGTATGAATTGGGTACGTAAATGCATAAGAAATAGCTCTTCTTCGCGGACCTGATGAGCTCCCTGGCTGGGGGGCAGCAGCGGCCGGAGTGCGGCTGTATCAGTCTCCCCCGTTGGCAGTGGAATCACCGGGTTGCTGCTAATGAATGGCATTCCTTCACCAGCTTCCGGTGGAGGCGTGGCCGTCGCAGATCCCACCCCCGGCTCCAGCGGGGAGGCCTCTGGCGCCAAGCTCAGAGGCGCGGCAGCCCACCAGCCCCTGTGAGGAGTAGATGGGAGATCTCCTCCTGCAGTAGGTGGTGGCGCCACCTCCGGTGACAGAGCAGGAGAGATCAGCTCATGGAATAGAACCCTAACGAGCAGTTTCTCCCCCTTCTCACAGCTCGTAGCAAACTCATCCTTGATGGAGAAGTAGTAGCGGCCCGGCTGGGGTGGAGTCCACTGTAAACACGATTAATCACCAAGCTTATTAATGAATCCCATGTGGGGAGGATGAAACCGTGAAAGATATCTAAAAAGCGACAATGTCGAACCTTGAACTGGGTAGATTTGCCGTGGTAAACTAAGGATGCATCGGCAAAATTGCAGAGATCTAACGCCCTTCCGTTGTGAAAGAGATAAAGATTCTGGAGATCTCTGCTTTTGAATACTGTAAATTGATGAATGAGAGAATTAAAAAAAAAATCAGGACAGAAAGAGGGAATGGAAAGACAGAACTGGGATGGGTGAAGAGCAGACTAACAAAGAGAGTCTCCGATTTGAATGGTGACTGTTCTCCGGTCAGCGATGTCGTCGAGGACCACCGTGTCGGCGGCGGCTGGAGGTGTGGTGAAGGAAAGGAGGAGGAGAATTAGAAGAAGACCGGGGGTTCCCATTCTGAAAGAAGAGGAAGACGACCGAGCTACACCATTGGGGGCGAGAACATGAGAAGGGAGTTGAAGATGGAGATTACCAGCACGGCTTGTTGAGGAAGAAAGGCGGCCGGGGACGAGGGTTTGGAGCCACAAGGATCGGACATTGGGAATCGTTCTGTGAGGGAAAGAAAAAAATGGCATCTTTAGAAAGAGAAAAATGGCATCTTTATTTCAAAGGCAATGAGCAGGAGATAGAAAGAGCGAGATGGGCATGATAATTCCAACATGAAAGTTTTTGTAGAAGCCACGGAATAAACTAAAGAGAAGAATAATCTCATAATATTGATATAGATATATGTAATAGATTGTAAAGGGAGAGTGTGATGAAATGGGAGGGAGGGAGGGAGGGAGGGAGCGAGGGATTCAAGAGCAGTCTCTGTCCTAGGTTTCAACGATTAAAAAAGATGGCATTTTACACTTAATGCTAATTTTATTTTTAAGGGTCTATAATTATTATGAAACGGCACTTATACCTTTGATTCTCTTTGGTTGCTGGATTATTGATCAGCTAGTTTTAAGTCTTTGTCATGTCATCTTTTTGTCGGCCGGCTTTTGATCGGTCGGCTTTCGAGTTAGTTGGTCTCTCGTAGGTCAGCCTTTAGTTGATGAGGCTCCATTCGATTGCCCGTTTGATAAGCCTATGATTAGTTGGAATCAATTAGCCTCTAATCAGTCGCATTCTTAATTGGAGTCTAATCAGACAACCATTATTATTCAATTATCATTGCTTCAGCTACCCATGCATTACTTGGTATTCATCTTTTGACATATGCATTGTTCTGAACTATCAAATCTACAAAAGATTTAGATAAGTGTATTTTTTTGTATATATTTTAATTCTATGATTCTATCATATCTTAGTAGGTTGTGCTGCATTAAAAATGAGATAATTAAATCTAATAAATTCTCTCATATATTAGTTGGTCATATTGCGACAAGAATGAAATAATTAAAAGTAATGAATGACTAATTATCATTAAATGACTTCAGTTATTGATATTCTCTTAACTTTCAAGCCACTAATTTTCTAAATAGAACTTAGAGATGTCTTTCTAAATTTACGAGATTCGTGATCTTCTTTCCTTCACGGGCTACCCTGTTTCGTGTGAGCTTTCATTTCACCTTACTTTGTCGGTCATCCTTCTGCTTCAAGGGAGCTCACAATGGGAAAACTTATTAAATTCTAAAATGACAATCCGGACAAACTCCTGATCCAAGGGATGTTTACATAGGAGAAAGGACAAAAACATCCTAAAGGTGAATGAAGGAAGAAACATATGACGAAAAGAAGGACGGCCTCATCTTAATCAAATTAGATGGGCTCTTCCAAGGCAGCCCCAAAAGATGCTCAGCAGGTCGCCGCAACATAGAACCCAACCATTCAACTTATTATGGTGAACATGGCTCGTACAAGGGTTCAATCACTCAAAAAAAACATCTTGGTTCACTTGTTGCTGAAAGAAAGCCACGCTGAGGAGCCGAAGGTGCCAAAAAATAATAAGGGCTCTAGGCACTTAGGGTCTTTGACTAGTTAGTTTCTTTTGAATTTACTTAAACTATTAATCTTTTTGGTCTTTCATGTTGCAGATGCTTTAGTTCAGTTATAATTGAATGAAGCTCTGACCGTGTTTGTAGAGTGGACTAAGGGAGTTGTGAAAGGAGATGGTTCGCCTGCTAGCAAGGATGATGGAACCGAATGTCCCAGAGATCTCCCGCCACTTTCACAAACACATGAGGATTTCGCTAAGAAGGTTCGAGCGAACCATGAGACTCCGGTTCATCACCTAAACAAGATTAAGTGCTCTTTCAAGGGCGAGGCTTACATACAATAAAGTACGAAGATGCTTGCACTATCATCTCACATAGTAAAGTTGAAAGAGGAGGTTGTTACGATGAGGCCTATGGTGACTACCCTTTATTTGATGTTCTTAGACCTGTGAGAGAGATCCTGGGATTTTCAGGCTCAAGCTGAGTTCAATGGGCTAGGTAAGCTAAGAACTGGAGGCAAGTTCTTACTTGAACGGTTACTTCGGTTGTATTATTTATTAATTGAGGTTGCCTAAGACAATTCTCTAACCTACTTTAATGGCTTTTTGTAATAGTAAGTTTTATTTGGCTTTTTAATTTTCAAGTTATTTTAATGGTAAGGGCGAGAGGTGGGTTTATATCCTCTCTCGGCTCTATTTGTCTTGGTGTTTGATTCGGGTGACCTGCATTAGGTCCTTTGATCTTTCGCTAATGAATATTTTGGTCTTCCTCCAGTGGACCCTCCTGACCATATTTTCTTGTCTCATAATCCATTAGATCTCCTTGAGATTCATGATGACGCATTTCTAATATACTCTTATAATGATTTTTCTACAAATTCATGCAAAATTAATATTCATACCCAACCATTCCATGTTATATTTATAACTAGTCATACGTTTTCTGTATGTTGATATCAAGTTGTGCCCACTTAATAGTAAATATGGAATATATTTACATCATCCTTTTAAAAAAAAAAAAAAAACTACTTCCACAATTTGGTTATAAGGTATGAGTTCCAACGTTTTGTGTTCCCTATCCAACAAATTTCACCTATTCAAAAATTTTATCAAGTAAAATGTGCATCTAACATTTAATGTATTATATGATTAGCTTCATTGCAATGATATAAAAGTTGTTTTCTTACTTCACCTAACTTATTGCTTTATTCTATGCCTCTTGTATAAAACTCTCTAAATAAAATTAAAAGCCATAATTTATAACAATTATTTAGTTTGAAAAAAAATTGATTGATGACATATAAGTGGTCTTCTAAATTCTCTTTAATTCGACAGCATTTGTTACACCAACAACCCAATTAACTTTACTAAATAAAACTAAATTGAGTGGGAAAGAACATGCTACAAAATCACTAAATTAAAAATAAAACTAAATCCTTATAAGTTAATAATTACAATATTTACCATTTCTTATTCAATATTTTTAATAAAATAAATTTCTTATCTAACATATATGATTCTTTATAATAATATAAAAGAGATGGAAAATGTCTAGCCTTATTCACATAATTGATTTAGCTGAGCTTTCCAATATTAAAAGACGTCATGATATCATTATTAATACTTTTGAATTTTCATCTTAATTATTCACAACATATAGTTTATATCGATATTGTTCATGAATGCTTTTCATCTTAATTATTCACAACATATAGTTTATATTGATATTGGTTCATGAATGCTACATAAAATTGAATTGGCACGTGTCTATGGATGATTGAAACATCATGATTGATAAAAAAATTGAATTGGCACGTGTCTATGGATGATTGAAAAATCATGATTGATAGGCGCCGAAGTCCTAGTAACTACTCCCAACTACAATCACTCTTGACCGATGTACAATAAATCATTCTGCATATAATCATTGTACTTTGAAGAACTTTCTAACCCTTTCCCACCCGCGCAATAGCTCTTGGGCGAGCATGCTTGTGCACAAATCACTGAACGCTCCTCTAGTGCATCTGCGCTCACATCACTGCTTCTGCTAACAATGAGAGTCAATCCAACCTATTTTTAGCATCTTTAAGTCTGCAGGCTCATTTTTCAATATTTTAAGCTCAAATTTAATAGTTTAAAATAAATATTGAGAATATTTACTTGGCTCATGACTCTGAAAAGGGTCTGCGCTAACATCCAAGGAGAGATTACACCTCATAATTTTTTCAAAATTATTATATTATCATATAATTTTATGACAATGTGAGAAATATTTTCTTTGTGCCTAACATCAGCATATGAGAGTAGAGGGGTGATTGTTATGTCCCTAAAAAGATCATTTGATCAAGCATAAAACGTACATTGGAACTAAAAATTAAAAAAAAAAAAAACCAATTAAGAAATGTCCGTCCTCAAATTTATGATCATATGAGGTGTATTAGTGAGATAATCAAATGGCATAAAAATAATCTGATTTGAGCCCAAGTGAGCCCAGATCGTGCATTTAAAGCATAAAAGAAGCTTTGTGATATATTTTTAGGAACCAAATGATCTCTAAATCACTTACTTTCGACATCATTAAACCATTCAAATACTTACATCGGATCGAAGGTAACTCTCAGTTCATTTGATGGAGTGGTTTGTTGGGTAATGTGGAGACCCAGTCCACCGAATTTAATTAACTTCTTAATTAAGTATCTCACCTACCGCTCACCTACCACACCCACCTACCGCTCACCTATCACATCCCACCTGCTGCTCACCTACCTCCTACCTACCGCTCACCTACCTCCCACCAACCGTTCTCATGGTTTCTATAAATAGTCTCTTTTGGTTTAAAGGAAATACAAGCCAAGCAAAGCAAAGCAAGGCCATACCAAGTCCTATTGAGAGCTAGAAAGAGAGAAAGAGAGAGAGAGAGAGGAAGGGAAAGAAGGAAATAGAGATTTTCTTGTAAACGTCTAGGCGCTCGACGATGTCGACGGTGTAATTCCTCGAAGAAATAAAATCCTCTCCAGCTTCGTGAAAGAAAATAAATTTGCAGAACCACACAAATCTGTGTGTCGCTCTGGTGTTTTCTATTTTTTTTTTCGTGCAATTTATTTTTTATTTTATTATCGTCATTTTTTCACGACATATATAAAATCAATTGCTCGGCATGTATGCAAATTTCCCAAATTTTAATACATAAAACATATTTATTTATAAAAGATAAGACACATTACTTTGATACGGATCTCAGTACGGGGTTCTGTAGAGCTGCCAGGCTTAAATGATTTATCTGTAGAATACAGCCACGCCTTATGAACTCCATTAACGAAGCTGTAGCGATCATTCAACTGCGCATTATAAGGCCACTGAAGAACCAAATTCGCTTGGCTTAATGGCACCGAAGTAAAGCCATCAGTAGGATCCGCGCTGCAGCAGAGAAGACAACTGTACATCATCAGGCTGAAGAAAGCCAAAAATGCAAAGAGAAACGAAGCAGGAGAAGCCATGGGCTCTGGGTTAGTTACAGTACTGATATAATAACGTTTGAATTCCAACGGCTATATTTATAGAGAGAGAGAGGATACTGATATAACGTAGTAGAGGGGTAGTTTTATAATTTATTAATTATAATAATTGCCAACATCATAACTAATTAGCGTGTTAGTTTTCTCTGTGTGGGTGGATAGAGTAAATAATTAATTATATGGCGTTACTGCATGGTTGAATACGAAAGGAAAATTAACATATATACCCTTTAATTTCTATGTATTTACAAACCTAACACCTAATTTTTTATTTGTGCACATATACCATCTAACTTATGCATGAAAAGGTATATTTATAATTCAATGGTAAATATATAAATACATATGAGTTGGATGGTATGAAGGTAAATATATTTAATTTCTAGTTAATAACATAACTAATTAATGATTACTTGATTACTCCTTACGTTAAATAGTTATAACTAATTAATCGCACCCTCCTGATACAAGCAATTATTAAATAATACTAAATAATAATGTAATTAAAAATCATAATTAGTTCTTAAAGATCCAAGATAAAACGATAATAATTATGGCGTGCCCCAATAGGCTTTACAGATCCAAGTCTATTTACAATAATATCACCCTACTATTATAAGATAAGAACTTGGATTCCACGAAAGAACTAAGCAAAGTACAAAATTTTATGTAGCATTTACATATGTGCCCCTCAATTCTATTTATTTGCATGTCTGACCTCTAAAGTTTATATTTTTTATGTTTACACCATCCAATTCTTTTATATCATATTAAAATATAATTATTTTAACTTTTAAATTGTAAAATAAACAATTTCATACATAAATAAGATGACAAATTCACATACAAATTGATGTATATATATGTATGTATGTATGTATCGACATATTTTTTTCATTTAAACATAGAGCCGAATATGCATATAATATGGGTTAATTTATTGCAATTTAATAACTTGCACAATCGAATGTGAGATATTTGAACAAGTGATTATATGATTACGTATATCAGAATAATATATTTAATAATTTATAATGAAATGATACACAAAGGCATCAACATATGAAGATCAGTGGGAGAATTTACAAGTATAGCTCTTTTTTTCTTTTTTTAGTATATATATTTATCATTGATGTGTGCTTGAAAATTTGTGGTGGTAGAATAACATATTATTGTCTTAGCGTTGCACGAGAGTTCAGCACACACTCGGATCAAAGAAAAACAAACAGTGATGACACCATAAGTTTTTACGTGGAAAACCTGTAAAGGGAAAAAAATCACGGGGTCTGGCCCAGTTGTAAAAATTCACTATTTATTGATGATTACGTAAAACCCTCGTCTCACAAACGGGTAAAGGTTACTAGATTTTTTAAAGTTGTAATATTGACTGACAGAGCCTGATTAATGGTGCATGATGATGATTGGTTGTTGTCAATGGTGATTGACAGAAGTTGACGGCTATCGGTGAGTGTTTACAACGGTCAGCGGTGGTCAAAGACAGTAAACGGTTGTCGATGGTGGTCGACGGAGGTAAGCGGTGATCAACGACGATCAGCAGCGATCGACGGTGATCGGCGGTGGTCGACGACGATGGTGCTGGACTTCAGCTTCTTATCAGAGCTTCAAGTTCTCTCTTAAGGCTTAGGTTTTCCCCTCATGAGAGGGATGAGACTCTATTTATAGTGTTCTAAGTGCAATTAAAATAAGAATATGAATCATATTGATCATACCATTAAGAGCACTACCCTCGATCAAACAACATTTGATGGACATTTGAGTGTCTTAACGTTGTTGGAATTGAGCAATATTGGGCTTGTCGGATTCATATTGTCGAGACGTTCGATTCAACTATGAACTCGTCAGATTTGATATACACTTGACTCTCCAAATGTGTCCGAAAATCTTCCAATAGATATTTAATGGCTTGATCTTGGTTTGATTTCACTCGAATTGCGCTAGTTTTTATCTCATTAGGTCCATCTCATCGAGCTGGTCAGTTTGACCATAAGTTTGTCGAAATCAGAGTTGTAGATGACTTTTAATTGAGGTTTGAATGTTTCTTGTTCAACATATTGCAACGAGATTCGTGTCAGATGATGAGAATTTGTTAGTGGCGTATGAGTTGCCCCCTATTTTCGGACGACAAAAACTATTTTTATATTAAATTAATCATAAATTTTTTAAAACCACCAATGTTAAGTTTTATATCCAAATGAAATAGAATTAGTGCTAGTTTTGTTTCACCACCAAAAATATATATATATATATATATTGTCTCTGCCCTTAAACCTATCCCTCTTCTATACCTTCTTGGCCTTGTTGATACCATTTCTTTATTGATGACCATAGTTTACCCAACACCATTGCCTTATTGGCCTTTGATCCATTCCTGAAATTTGGGCATGATCGCCATCTTCCCCCAATCATCTCCCATCAGTAAGACTCCATATATTTAGCCAATTTGTTCTACTTGGTCAAAGATCCCTATCAATCATCTCCTTTGTCATTCACGACCCCTATCATTTGGTAATTTGTGTCCAAAGTTCTCATATTAAGATGGATGAAAACATTCAGACAATGAGTGATTCTTATATTGATATAATTTATGCATATCAAGAGCCATCAAATTCAATCCTTTGATCGCCTAACAGAAAGGTCGACCGACAGGAGGATGACCGACCAAATGTCCGTCAATTAGGCATCGATCGACTCATATATCGACTAATCATGAGAACCAACTAAATAGGGTTAAATATAAACATTAGCCAGGGTTAAATGTAAAACTCCCTTCACACTCATAGCTTACCAAGAATTTCTTCTAGCACTCAATAATATGCATCATATTATTGCTCTCTTTGCAAATAGGTAGCTGCAATTTGCATCCATACAATTAATTAAGGAAAGATTTACAAACATACCACATAATTCCTATGTATTTACATGTCTAACAGAGAAACTTCAACCTTTTACTCATCTGTCGCAATACCAATAAATAGAAGGATGTATTTAACTTCTTTTAAAGTCAAAATAGTGATACTTGTTCAGTGATATGAAAGCTTTTGGTGATATAATATACACACAATTACTTAAGGAAAGATTTACATACATACCAAATAATTCAAATGAATTTACATATCCAACACCTAAACCTAATCTTTTACTTATGTCACATTAACAATACATAAAAAGGTGTATTAAGGATAGGAAAGTTTTTGGTAGATATGTAACTATATAGGAATAGGGCGGTATGCATGTAAATGCTCTTATTTAAATCGAGTTCAAGCCACCCTCAACTTGAGCTTAATTAGCTTTATTGAGTTCAAACTTACTCTTAAATCTAGGAATTCGAGCCGGCTCCTGAGCCAACATGTTTATTAATTTTTTTTTTTTTTAAACAAGCTAGCTCACGAGCTAGAGTCAAACTGGGTCTAACTTAAGCTTGACTTGTTAGCTTATCTAGCTCAATTCACGAGCCACTTATCAAGTCGTGCTTGTTAGCCAGCTCGTGCACGAGCCGGCTTAACTCACACCCCTAATTGCAAATCGCCTGAAAGTACATATTACATTGAAATATGAACTATAACTATTATTTTTTCTTCACATCATTAGAATGAAAATTTGGGGCTTAAAACTAGAATATATGAGTCATCAATAAAATAATTAGGCATATTACATGTATATTTATGTATATGTATGTATGTATATCACATGTATATGTATGTATGCATGTATGTATATATGCTGCATTAGATCAAATAATTAGGCATATTACATGAGGAGCATTTATCTACATACAACCCAACTTTTATGTATTCACCTATATAAAACAAAACTTTGTTTTTATTTTCTTTTTATTTTCTTTTTTTTTCATTATTATTATCTTTTGCATTTATACCTTTGCATTTAGACCTCCCAAATCTTTCATATCACATCAAAAATATCATTACAGGCTTTTGTGCATGTGAGAGGCGGCATGTATAAAAAGATGGAAGTTTAGATT